AAACAAAAAATATAATCTAATTTTTCATTTACAAAAAGCACATTAATGTACTTATCATGGTTATTGCTAATGTTGTTTTTAAAATGACACTCTCTTAACAAAACTCAAATGCATGAAGTGATAAGGTAATATTTTAAAAGACCTCAATTAGCAAAAACACCACCTTTTAGAATGTAATGTAGTATGTAAAGTTGATCTCTGGCATGTTTCCCAAGAAAAAGTAATACACTATACCACTGAAATTTTAAAAGCAAAACATCTGCTTTTCAAAGGTAGTTAGAAAACCTTTCCATAGGGAAAATGTCTGGCAATAAAAACAGAAAATGCATTGCTGAAATAATCTGAACAGTAATGTACAATAACACAACCAGGATTAGAAGTACTTACAAGTGAATCTGCATCGGGGCATTCCCTATTAAAACAAAGAAAATATTATAAATATTCAATAATTGAACAGTGTGTCCATTATATTTAAGTACTTGCTTATTAAACTCTACAAAAATATTTTGAGAAACCAAAACATTCAGATAAAATTTCACCAAATTACTTTTAAAAATCCTTGAAATGTGTGTCCTATTCTCATAATTCAAAACAAAGAACATCACAAATAGCTTACATGTATTATAAAACCACTTTCAGAAGTGCTGATTTTTCATGAATATACAAGTACATAAGCTTCATATCAAAAAGCCTTCAATCCAGGGAGAAACCTTTAACAGGTACCAAGTTAAGTGGTGAAGGAAGCACACATTTGTGAATTGTTAACTACTGCCACTGAATTGTACACTTAAGATAATAAAAATGGAAAACTTTCTGTTATATATTTTGCCACAAGAAAGTTTTTAAAAATAACAAAAAGGCAGCCCTTCTGGCCTGTCCCAGTCCTGCCTTCTCACTCCCCACCCCAGAAATCCTTCTTGGCCCAGCAGGTGGTCAGCATCCAGCACAGCTGAAGAATTGGAGCACGCAGCGACAGTGACTGCTGCTGTTGACCGCTACCCAGGACTCATGGCGACACCACGCACAATGGGACCATACTGTGGTGACCAAATAGGGTTTTTTTGTTTTGTTTTATATCAATAGGATTTCACTGGCCAGTTTTCAGAACTAGATCACAAACCTGTAATATTTTGTAAATATTGGGTCAATTAAAATCTATTGTTAAAGTTTTTTTAAAGGGGGAGTGGAGCTAGAGATACCAGATTCTATCCCTTCAGGAAAGTACTTTCTTCTTAAAAGCTGAAGTAAAACAGCTGAATAACAGATGTTAACTAGATATAAATCATTTTGAATTAGTCTTAATTTGTTAATCAAATGCCACCTAGGGGAAAGAACAGGAGAAACTGAAGAAATTCGGACAAGAGAAATATAATTTAGAAGGTAAAGCCACCATTTGTCTGTCAGTTTGTCTAACTGTTGTGGCTGTGTGTTGCTCTGATGCTGGAAGCTACACCATCAGAATTTCAAATAGCAGCGAGTCACTCAGTATAGCCAGCTTCCAGCAGCGCTTCCAGATTAAAAAAGACAAGAGTAGACAGAAAGGCCTGGTAACTTACTTCTTAAAATTAGACAATCAAAACTCTATGGGTCGCAACACAATAGTGTCTGAAGGTTTTACTGGAAGTACCGGATGATAAGCCTTCTAGGTTGGATAGTTTTCAAAACAGACAGACATACCACCAAATTGTGAAGATTGCACAGAATGAAGAAATGCTTCATTTTGTTGTCCAGGAGTCAACATTAGTCAGAGCTGACTCTTAACAAGATCCAAGACTATCCAAAGCCAAAGTTTTTCTCCAGTTTGAAAGGAAGCCAAAGGCATATAAACAAACACACACAGATCCAGGAATGGGTTGGGGGCTCCCATTAATCCTAGCTCCAACTTAAGA